AGGCTCATACAATTCATCACAATACATAGATCAATTGTGTAAAGCACATCTATACATTTGTTGCCCTCATTATTCCCAAAATTTGCTTTCCTCTTGGGTTCCCGGAATCAGCTCATTTTCCTTTTTTCCCCTCCCCCTCCCTTCCTCCTCCCCTGTAGGTGTTAATTCTTACAAAAGAAATTATTACCACAAAGTGCATAAGGCACATGGTATGTTAGGATTTGGGGTACCTCAGTATCTGGGAGGACGTAAAGGTAGTTTTCCCTTCAACATTTTACTTTTTCCCTGAGAGGGAAATAGACCTGGTAATTTGTGAGATAGCTGAGATAACTGGGTTGAAAAATTCAAGGCCAAACCAGCTTAATCTGGATTCAGAAATTTGTGTACATTAAAGTTATTATAAAATCTTAAGTGATAATTGTAGTACAAATATTACAGACAACATGGAGAATAGTACAGAAAACTTATAACCCCAGTGGGATAGTTATTGAGTGCTTGTTTTATGCCATTAGATGTTGTATATATAAGTTATTTTCAAAATACCTCTCAAAACAAAACAAAAACCACCATAGAGTCGAAGCTGACTCATAGAGACCCTTGGGACAGGGCAGGACTGCCCCTTTGAGTTTCTGAGACTGTCACTGTGTGCAGGAGTAGAAAGCCTGTCTTTCTCCCAAGGAGCAGCTCGTGGTTTCGAGCTGCACACGTTGTGGCTCGCAGCGCAACTCCTAACCACTAAGCCACCAGGATTCCTCTTCAAAATACCCCTTGTGAAACCTGCGGCTCAAATATGTTAAGCCACTTGCCTGAGATCAGACAGCTACGTAGTGGTCATCTGGAGTTTCAGTTTGGGTGTCCATGACTTCAACGCTTATGTCTTTCCCTGCATTGCTTCCTGGATCTTCTCAGTCTGCTTTGCAACATCCATGACATTCCTCCCGCCTCCCTTAGATCTTGATCATATGGTACTTACTTTTGTTTTTTTTTTGTTTGATGATTCTTAGCTGAATTATTAATATGATAGCTTCCGAATGGTGATTTTATAATGCCACAAAAACGTCCTGGATAGCTAGCCTACCACGGTCTTAATTGGCAAGGGTAGTAGGGTACTTGTACAGGTCCCTGGGTGATGCAGACAGTTGGCAGTTTGCCCCTCCCCAGCGGTGCCCTAGGAGAACAGCGTGGGGCTGCGTCTGCCAAGAACACCCAGTGGAGCAGTTCTGCGCTGTAACACGCTGGGTCAGGGTGAGTCAGCGTTGACTGGATGGCCACACGCTGGTTTTTTTGTTTTGTTTAAAAAGAAGGTCCACTTTCACTGATTGATTTAGGGATGACCACTAGTAGGTAGTCCTTCAACCGTCCCACTTTCTTTCTTTATTTCCTTTGGAATTTTTGTTGAGTGACTATCATTTGTAAGGGACTTGGGTGGGAGAAAGTGCAGATAATTCAGATACAGATCCTGTCCTTCAGGATATTACAATGTTGTCGAGAAGAAAAACCATTTATAAGGAAAGCAGGCAAAAAGGATAACACTTACTGAGCACCTATTAGATGCCAGTGCTCATATATTCTTTCAAAAAACTATTTGGGGAATGTATGTGTCAGAGAGTGTGCCAAGCTGGTCAGGATTCCGGGAGCTTTGGTGGCGCAGTGGAAGGTCAGCCAGTTAGAACCTAGCAGCCGCTCCGTGGAGAGAGATGGGGCAGTTTGCTTCTGTGAAGATATACAGCCTTGGAAAGCCTGTGGGGCAGTTCTGCTTTGTCCTCCAGGGTTGGGGTGTGAGTCAGATGGACGCAAGTGGTGTGGGTAGAAATTTGAACGTTAGCATTCCACCACGTAAGTAGTAACTCTGTAGAGTTGATGCTATGCTCATGAGACAGAAGAGAAACAGGTGCCGAGGGATTAACTGACCTGTCTAAGGATATATACCTAGTCATTGTATAAGTGGTTAAATTGGGTCTTGGGTCAGTGTGCTTGCTTTCCTACTGTGCCGGGATGAGTTTAGTATGTGTGTCATTTATTTAATCCTCCTCAGCTTTCTGAGTTTGAACCTCATGATTACAAAAGGAATATTGATACTCAGAAAGGTTAAATGACTTCTCAGGGTGACATGGCTAGTGACGTGGTGGCTAGTGGGCTATGTGTTGGACTGCTAATGCAAGGTCAGCAGTTGGAAACCACCAGCCACTCCACGGGGGAAGGATCTGGGAAACCCACAGACCTTGTCCTATGGGCTCACTGAGGGTCACAACAGACTCGATGGCAGTGAGTTTGCTTTTTGGTTTGGATGCCTCTATATGTAAGTATAAACGTTTGTTATGCTTTTTAGAGGTAAAGGATTCAGAGCAAGGGACCTGGGATTTCGGACGAGTACGATCTCTGCCAACTGAAGATGACGTGAGCTGTCTTGAAGAATAGGTAAGCTTTGCTATGTAGAGGGTGGAAGGAAAGGAAGAGGATGAACAGAATCTTTAGCAAGGGGTATATTCACCAGTAAATAAGCATTTCAACAGCGGAAACAACAACAAAAATCCAAACTCACTGCCATCAAAAAACCAAACAAGTTGATGGCAAATAAATAATTAATGCTTACTCATTGCCAGACTTTTTTTCCTCGATGTTCTGGGGCCAGAGAGGCTGGAAACCCAACAGAAAGCCCTGCTTTCACAGAGCTTCCCTTTGTGTAGGGTGAGACAGATGCATCCCACATATCGAAGATGCCAATAATATCCCTGAAGACAATATGCGTTCTAGAGAAGGCATCCGAATGCTGATATTGAGAGGGAGTAGAAACCTGATGCTTGGCAAGGTCTCAGTTAGAAAGTAACATTTAGCAAAGAAAATTCACCTCACCGAAGACAAATGGCTTCCGTGCTATCCTAGAAGTGGCTGGTTCCAGCCGCTGCTTTTCCGTTCATGGACCCTTCTTGCAGGAAGAGAAGGGTCTTTCTAGCAATTCCCCTGCGCCTGTGTAGTCTCCCTAGTTTCTCTGCTTGGGATTTCTCCAGGTAAAAATATGGCTATGTTAAATAAGGTTTCCTGAAAAGTAAGGTCTGTTCTGTGTAGAATTTGAGTTAAAGGGGTAATGGACATATTCTGATGAAATCTCAGATTATGAAAGTTCTTTAAAGGCTGGTCCCTTTGGCCCTTCATGATCACACATGTTGGTGTGCTGCTTCCATGTGGGCTTTGTTGCTTCT